CACTGCCAACTAAAATTTTGCAGGATATCCCATCAACAGGTGTTGAAGATTGGTTTACGCTGGAAAAAAGATCAGAACGATCAGAAGTATCTGGGCAAGTAAAGCTGAAGGTTAGGTTCATTCCGAGTAATTTTCTTGAATAATCAAATTCTTGTGTCGTATATGCAATTAGAAACATGCATGAGATGACGGATTTGGTCATACGCTTTTCAACATCGCTGACGCAAAAGCATTATATTCGGAAGTCTATTCTCACATTGCAATTTTAGAACCGTGAGAAATAGAATGCTAATATTTTGGAAACAATATCCTCGATTGTGTACAAGGCCATAAGCCTGAAATCATCCCTGAGGTGTTTTGACCTTCGACCCCATTCTCAAACTTAAACAAGTTTTACAGAGGACCAAAAAAATTAGAAATATAACGCTCTGGGCACTTGATCCAAAAGCATTTTGGAAACTATAGCCATTTCTATTTCTGTGCTCTCACATAGACGTGAGAACCAATTTCTTTTTAGGTATGTTATTAGAGAACATGAGTTACTGGTTAAAGTTCTTCTAAAACTTCATTTTTGTAGTGGGAAATTAAATGCCGTATAACCAGTTTTCAAAGATTTCTGTGTTCTAACTGTAGTCTCAAGCTCAATTCCAAGCTTGCTTTTTCTGGGCTAAACATTTCAATATTATTCATAGCAATTAATCGTGCTAGGCAGCTTTAATAGCCCAATGAGTGTAGAGATCCCAGTGATTTGTGTTCTATTGCCTCATATCTAAATGCAGGCTAATTTTATCACTCTCGAGTGAGGTCACTTTTTCGAATTCAATTTGAAACAGTGGTAAATGGTCTGAAAGCTGATTTTGTACTTTTTTCCAACTTGACCTCTTATCTCATATTGTAATGCGGGCCGACACCCCCAAGGGTCACAAAACGGCGTACGGGGTAAAACCACTTCTTGGTGTTTTTTGTCGCATTCACACGTATTGTGTAACCACAACTGTTTATCACGACGAGCGACTCGCGTTTCATGCTGTTAATTTTTGTGGATGCGTACGGGATGCAAAGTAAGGTCAAATCAACATTGCAATCAATAGCACCAAAAAAAACGAGCCATAATTTAATTTTGCGCCACAACGGTTTGAAATGAGAGCTTGCTAGTGGGCATTGTTATTTAAGCTGTGGCTGAGCACGAAGGAAGAACGAGATGAGAAAGACGACGATGTGACAATTGACGTAAAGCAGCACGTTGGTCTTATACAGCAGTTCGCTCTTCATGAAATCAAGCAGTCAAATGTTCGCTTTTTCGAATCTTCAATTTAGTGTTAGCAAACGTAAGATCTAGGTGAAATCTTGTGGTAGAAAATCATCACCACTTCCACCAACTCATCAAAGTTCTTTCTATGCACTGAGATCACTGACGCTTCCTTGGAAGTGAGTGAATGCTCTGTTTGGATTACTTGCGCACCAATCAGTTAAAAACTCAGCGCAAATGCAGTCACAGAATCTATAAAAATTGAAATTCCTGTTCAGGCACCCATATCAACATTCCATGGTGTGTTGC